GGTTATGATAAAATTAATATTGTACATCTTTATGGTGGTACACCATACGACATGGGTCTTGCACTTGGTAAATTGATGGACAAAGAATTACAAGCCGTTATTCCAGAATATTATGCATATTTGGAGAAAAATATTGAATATATTTTAAAAAAGGTTCCACCAGTGAGTAAAAAGGATACATTTTTTTATGTTCTTGCTTCTTAACTAAAAGTTGTTGATATCTTTTGTAGTTTTTTCAAAAACTGATTACTGAGCATGGTTTACCAAGTGCTCTTGATCTTACTTATGATATGACGCGTCTTTACACTCCACCTTGGTTCGATGAAGAACTTCAAGGTCTTGCTGCTGGTAGTGGTGTACCTTATACTATGCTTCGTCAATTGAATTTACTTCCAGAATTACTCCAAGCGTCTTGTACCGTTTTGGGAGCATGGGGTGAATCAACTGTAGCATCAACTTTACTTCATCTACGAGCACTTGATTGGGATGATAAAGCTCCACTCGCTAAATATGCTACAGTAACTGTCTATCATCCAAATGCATCATATGAAGGTTATACAGAAAATTTTCATAAATATTATAGACAAGAAAATTATAAATCACATGCTTTTGCTAATTTTGGTTATCTTGGTCTTATCGGATCACTTAGTGCATACAGTGAAGCTTCAATTGGATTAGGTGAAAAAGTATGGATAACTGAAGACAAAGATATTGCAACACGATTTGGAAATCCATGGACATATGTTCTTCGAGATGTTGTCCAATTTGCTGATTCTATTGATACAGCGTTAACTATGCTCGTAAATGCACATCGAACATGTTCCATTCATCTTGGTCTTGGCTCATACGAACGTAATGCATCAGTTCATAGTGATGAAAATGTTGGATTTCGTGGAATTGAATATAGTGCAAAAGAATTTAATGTTTTTAATTGGGAGGATATGTATGTTAGACCACATCATCCAATATTAAAAGATGTTATTTATTGGGACAAACATGTTCAACCGTCAAATTTTCCATGTTTAGGTAGTTTATTAGTTGATCATTATGGTCATCTTGATGCGCCAACTATCATTCGAAATATTACTAGTCTTGCAGAAACTGGTAATGCACTCAACTTAATACTTGATTATGGTGAAAATGCTGCTTATCTTGCCTACAGTGCACCTGATGATCCACAAGGACCATTGGAAGCTTATAATCGAGTTCATACAAGACTTGACATGACTAAATTATTTGCTGAACCGGCACCAAAATAGAGATTTTATTTTAAAATAAAAACAATTTAAGAGATTTCTCTTAGTGTTTTTTTCTCAATATAACATTTTATTGTTGAATCTTCAAATTTGCAAGAATGAAAAAAGAAACAAAGAAACAAAAATGAGACAGAATAGAACAATATGCACAAGAAGAACAACGAAAACAACATCAATAACAACAATTTCTAGGTATTTTTGTTTTCTAGTTTACAAATCATCAAGATGTGGCAACCAAAAAATCTAATTCAAATAAATAAATATCAATAGTATGAGAGAATAAATAAAACTTACTAATTGATTTGATGCACTAACAAGTAACATAAATTTTGGATTCATTGATACAATTGTTTGACCAGACATGGAATCAGAAACAAGTGTACATACACGATTACCTGTTTCAGCATTCCAGCAATGGATACGTCCATCACTCGCACCTAAACATATATATATATTAATATTATATCATATATGATTTTTAAAGATTCAACTAACCACAGAAGACAAATTGAGCATCTGGACTGAATGATGCTTCAATAGGCATATTTTTTGTATTTGTAAAACCCTATAACAAAAAAAAACAAAAGTTTTCTTTTTTATGTATTCAATTTGTTTTTAACTAACTGATAAAGTATGTTTAAGTTGTCCAGTAAACGCATCAATTAAACGAATAATATTTCCATTTGTTGTAAGCATAATTGTTTTACCATCTGCGCTAAATTTTAAATTTGTCCATTCACAATCTTTTTCTTTGGGTAATTGAAAGGTTGAAAATGGACCCTAAATAAATCATAATAACATTATGATTAAGAATTAAACATTTAATCATAAAATAACCTTATCAAATGAACGTAAATCATATAATTTAATCATTTCCGATGTTATACCAGCACCAAATATCAGACCCTAAATATAATTAATAATTTATTGTATTCTCAATAAATATGTATTACTTCAGGATCAAAATTAGCTACTGGTCGACCATTCAGATGCATAAGACCCTTTTAAATCAAAAAATATATAAGTTATTCAAATATCAAAGATAAAACTACGAACTGCACAATTAGCTGATTTTAAATCCCATAAACGAACAGTATTATCAAGAGAACCAGATAGAAATATATCATCTACTGGCGACATTGATAATGTAATCACTCTAAAAGAAATTTTATACAAAATAAAATCTAATTTTTTGTTTTGAATCAATTCCATACTTTCGAACATGACCTGGAAAATATCTGATATATTTATTATCATGTAAAGATAAAAAACGAATTGTATCTAGAATAAATATTTATTTAAAAAAATAAAATAGAGTATATACTAATCTACCATCAATTTTAGTTGAACTATGTATAACGGTATTTGTTGCATGTGTAAAACGAATTAAATCAACACCATATTTTTTACTATTGAGTGTTTTTTTCGCTCTAAAAAAAATTCGAAATAGTTTAGAAAAAAAAATCTAATATTAAATACGTACGATCCAGCTTGACAATCGTAAATAACAATTGAATCATCATCACTACTAGTAATTAATGTTTCACCATTCGCAGAAAAATCTAATGCATTGATTCGATCTGTATTTTCATGGAATACACGAGCATTGCGAAATGTTTTAACAACAGCTTCAGTTAATTTAAGTCCTTCAATATTATTATTATTTGATGTTGAATTTGATGGAGAAGTTGTTGGATTTGTTGTTGTCGCCATTAGTTGAGAATCATCACGCATAATCAATACATATGAATATGAAAAAAAATGGAAATCTTTTGTTTTATTAATCAAATATTTTAATATAAAAATGAACTAGACAGACTGTGGTTAAATGTATTCAACGAATCGATGATATCTAAGCGCCACATACAATGAATGAATATAAAGAAATATTCTCTATTGGTTCATAGAATTCTTCACTAAGAATAGAAAGTCATTTGTCGCTGAGAGAACGAACAAATCTTCTGTCTGCCTGTATAAAAAATTGAACATGAAACAATTAACAACATTTAGAAATCAATTTGATTTTCAATCAATACGATGGAAAGATATGATCCGGTTTGTTGATTTTCATTTATTAATTATTTTAATAATATTTTCTTATTTTTAAATTAGATGGTTTCCTGGTCATATGCATCGAGGCATGAAAGACCTCGAACAATCGTTATCAACTGTAGATGGTATTATTGAAGTTCATGATGCACGTATACCACATTCGGGTCGTAATACTCAATTATATCAACGATTAGTTGGGGGTCATAAACCACATGTACTTATATTGAATAAATCTGATTTAGCTGATCCAAATTATTTAAATAAATCAATTGAATATATTCAATCTGAACAACCAAATACACAAGTTGTTCATACAAGTTTAGCATCAATTGATATGAAAGAAATGACCAATCTATTTGGTCGTCTTCTTCAACAAATTGTTGAATCACCACGTTATACAAGAAGTTCAACAGTGGAATATAATATTGTTGTTTGTGGTATACCAAATGTTGGTAAATCAACATTTAGTATGTTTTTTAAATAAAGATTTTATTAGACAAAATTCAACTATATATTTTTGTTTTAGTTAATAAACTTCGTAATTTATTTGCAAATAAAGCAAGTTGTGAACAAGTTGGTGCAAGTCCTGGTGTAACAAGAAAAATGAGTGAAAAAGTTAAAATATCTAATCGACCAAAAGTATTTGTACGTGATACACCTGGTATACTTGAACCACGTTTAAAATCTGCTGATGAAAGTTTTCGATTACTTTTAACCAATAGTATACCAATTCAACAACGTGAATTATCAGATATAATTGCTGATTATGGTTTATTTCTATTGAATAAATATGATAAACAACGTTTATATATGAAATATTGTGAACTTGATAAACCATCCGATGATATCTTACCTGTTTTACTTTCACTTGCTAAAATAAAACATTGTACACAAATATATCGAGATAAACGTGGATATGATTTAACAGGAACAGCTCTACATTTTATCAATGAAATAAATAAAGGAACATTTGGTAAGAGATTTAGTTAACACAAAATATATATATATATTTATTTTTTGTTATGATAGGACAAATAACATTTGATCAAGATATTCTTGATGAGAAGGAAAATGAAAAATTAAATGATACAAATTTATTTAAGACCAATTCTGGTCGAATAAAAAGATCAATTTAGTTGTTTTTGATAGAAATTAATATGTATTGGTATAGATATTTATTTTGTTTTTTCAATTTTTAGATAAAAATATGTCAAAAAATTGGAATGAAAATATAGAAACATTTGCTAGTAAAATACATGAAATTTATTATTATTAATAACAAAAGAATCTTTTTGTTCTTTTAGAACACATACAAATTTATAAAACATTAGCTCTTCGATGGCAAATTAATGTAAGTGAATTGATATCCTCTTAAAGTTATAAACAATTTAGTTTTTTAGCCAAGTTTTCTTCATCGAAATTTGAAATATATTCATATTGCTCGAACATCAATACATTCTAATCGGTAAATAATATATTGATTTATTTTTTCTATGATTAAATTTTTTTTTTTCGTAGTATTCCAAATCAAAATATTTCAATAGAAGAAATATTTAAATCACGTTTAGATGAAGGCGTGAATAAACCAACATCATCATTATTACGTGGTGAAGCTTTTAATTTACATTTACGTGGATGGTCATATGATTCAAGTAAAATTTAAACAGGAAAATTTATTATTTCTATGTAAATAATTTTGTTTTTCTAAAAGCTTGTTTACAAGAACGACGTGGTGTTAAATACAATGTTGCATTTGATTTATCAGCATCATGTGTAGAAAATTTTTTAGTTAATACGTCAAATATATCTCGAACAATGAAACTTGGTCGAATTGATTCAATATCACCAAATGGTATATCATCAATGAATGATGATGATGAGGATGATGAATCATCAACGATTTCATTTCATGTTTCAACAAAATATACATATACATTAACATTCTCAACTACAATTACAGCGAGTCGTGGTAGAGATTTTATTTCTAAAGAATAATTCAAATTTATTTTTTCTTCGAGTATTTAGGTGATGGAAATAAAATTTCAATGTCTTATGGTAAACGTGTACAACTTGATTCATTATTTGATCCACGACAACCATTATCTACAGTACAATCACTTGAAATTGAATTAACACCTGTATTAATTAATGGACAAGAAATAGTAATAAAAGAAATTTTATTTCGAATTCAAAATTTATTATTTTTTTGTTCAAATATTATTAGTCTAAAGCAATTTCATCACAATTTCCATCAATATTTACAATATATTTTGACCTGACAAGAGAAGCAATAGAAGTGGTTAGAAGTGGTTCATCAACAAGAAAAAGACAACCAATATCGCCAAGTAAAATTCCAGCAACACATCATCAAGAACAACAATATCATGATCCTAATGCTAAACGAATGAGAACGGCACAGAAAACAAGTAAATCTTTTTTTCTAATAGCAAAAAAAGAAATTCTGTTTTTTTTTAATTTCATTAGATAAAAATTCTAATACTAATAATAGTTTACCATTATGGCGTGATATATCATCAAATAATGATCATAATACATCAACAAATTTACCACTTTACTATACTTTTTCAACAGATAATAAACAATGTTTAGCTACTAGTTATATGTCATCAAAAGGACATTGTTGTCTTTGTCAATTTACAGCTATTAATAATGATCTAGATGTATTAATCAAACATTTATCATATTGTCATCCACGTTTTACAGCTTCATTAAAGGTAGAATTTTACAAAATTATATTATCTATTTTTAAAAATAATTAAGAATCTCATATTTCTATTATAGAAAAACAGTGATCGACCTAATATTGAATTGCGTCTTAATGCATTCTATGATGGATCACTTGATACATTCGATATGTTTGCTGAATATTATCCACGTAAAAGACGTATTACTAGTGAATTAATTCTTTGGCGGTAAATATTTCAATTAATTAGTTCTTCAGACAAATGATATTCTTTTATTTCTTTTTATAACAGACCACCACGTTATCGTCGCTTAGCAATGGATGATGCACCATTTGTTTGTCGTCGAGCTGCATTAACTCGAGTTTATCGTCATACAACCGGTGCACAACCTATTGAACCAGAACATATGCAAAATGATAGTGATGATGAAATATATCCTGAATGGACACAACAATTATCACGTCGTATGATGGAAGATTTTCAAGATGTAAATGAAGGTGAAAAAGAAATGATGATCATGTGGAATCATCATGTTATGAAGCATAAGTAAATATATATTTCGAATTATTCAATTTCTATATTTATTTATTTAGTTTTATTGCTGATAGTCAAATACCATATGCATGTGACCTTTTTGTTGAAAAACATGCAAAAGATTTACGAGAAAAGAATCTTGTGAAAAATTTCTATCTACATTTGGCAACACTTCAATTATATAATCTAATTAAAAAGACAGATTTAGCAAAATGTATTATTCGTTTAAAAACCATATTGGGTACAACACCATCTGTGTCAACTTCTACATGATTCTTATATCAAATAAAAGATATAAATATAAATATATGTCTATAACATAAATATCCTATTCTATTTCTTGTATGTACTTACTTATTTTGTTTTGTTAAGTAGAGAGAAAGAAAAAAAAGTGAAATATATATATATATGTGATGTTAAATATTTTGATAAGAGTGATATAGATATGAATTAGTTTTATGGAAAAAAAAGTTTGTGATAAAATAAGTTGATATTTGTTAAAATGATCTCTATAATAAATATATGGATTTTCAGACATATGTCTTTTTCTTATATTGTTACTTATATTTTATATTTAGACGTCAATTCGTGATTGATAATATGATATTGATATTAACCCTTTCACGAGCGAATTTTGACTGATCGATTTTCATTGATTTTTATGGCAGTATTATCGGGACAAAGACATTTCGTACTAGGTATTCCAAACACCCTGTCTTTTTTCTCTTATATCGGGAGATCGTATTGAAAAGTTGGTGCGAAATGTCTCATTCCCGTATTATCGATCAAATCTAATGTAGAATTGTCTATTTTTCCATCTTTCATATATTAAGACGAGAACATTCAATTACAAAAATCAAATATTTTTCGAATAAGATAAACGTGTGCAATTATTTATTTATACGATGAAAACAAAAAAGAAAAAGTGTTTTATAAACGGTTTTAATACATATGATAAGTATAATTTGTTGAGTATTGTTGTTCGTTTTGTCCATGTGATGAATCATCATGTTCAATTATATTATTTGGTTGATAACAATAAGTTGTTGAATTCATTGGTGGATAATATAAAAGATGTTCATGTTCAGTATTGTTTATTTTTGAATTATTATCACGTTTAACTGGTAATCGTGCTGGTGCAGCACGTGCTTTATATAATTCTTGAAATAAATCATCAAGAAAATTATTTGGTAAATGTCGTCGATATTCTCCATATTCACATTCAACATCAGTTTTAGTTTGTTTAGCTTGACCTTTAGTAATTAATTGTACTTTTCGACGTTTATTTTGAAACCATATACGTATTTGATCACGTGATACACCAATATGTTTTGAAATTAAAGTTTTTTGTAAACTATTTGGATATTTATGTTTTTTAAAGATTTCATTAAGCATAACAAGTTGATGACGTGTATAATTAGCACGATTTTGAGGTAAAATCATTGCTGATGAAGATGATGATGAAACAATGAAATCATTTGTTGGATAAGGATGAATTGAATGAGTAGGAAGAGGGTGAGGAAGAGGAGTTGATGAAGGATAGTAAGGTATATCGGATGAAGATGCTATTGGTTCTGATCCTAATGGATAAAATGATTCAATTGAACAATAATTTTCAATAGGTTGAAGAACAGATGGTATAAATGAAGGTTGATAGTTTGTTATTGTCGATGGACAAAGTAAAGATGTTGGTGGTGGTGGTGGTGATGATGATGAGGATGATGACCAAGCTGATGTATTATTAGTATAGTATGCAGAATGATAATGAGATGTAGTATTGAAACAATTTGTATCCAATTGTAATGGTGAAAGATTCATATTTAGAGATAATGTACTGAAATTTTCAATGTATACACACTTGATAGTAGTGTTTGTATGATGAAAAATAATTATAATCGAATCTATTTATATATATCAGTAGGTTCTTTTTTTCTGTGAATAAGAGAAAGAAAAATTATTATTAATTTTATGTTTTCGTGCGCCACAGGAAGGCGATTGTTGTTCGGTAAGCAATTTATTTTCGAACACTAATCAACTTGATCATTGATGATATTTTCGTCTATTCGTATATATTATATATGAAGGTGAGAATAAGCCAAATTAGACGTCAATATTGTACTGTATAAGATTATGCAATGAGTTTTAATATACTGATGGGAGAAGTACGTAATCAAATTAGCAGAAGAGAAAAGTAAGCCTAAAGGCGAGAATAAAATGATCTTATATTTATAGTAGATACTTTGGTTTTAATATAAACCCAATATTCGTAATTGTTGAATTTATTAATGACCAATTATATTGCTGAGAAATAAAACATCAGTTGATATTTAAAAATTGTATTCGGAAGAGATAATAACAAACATTGATTATAAGATAAATCCACATACAATGGCGTTATGCTTTAGTAAAAGACTTTTTCATTATATTTATTTAATAATCATAGCAAATATGAATAATATCAAACGTGAAATAAAGTTATTAATCTATTTTATCAGTGATGGAGAGATTTCTTGAAACTCTATTTTCATATATATTCTTTTCAAAAAAATTATCAATCGTTGTATTGCTGTTTAATCGATTTATTTTAGAAAAAAAACTCTACGATTAACTGATAAGGTGTTAATAGCATATATGCTTATTGAATTGAGTATATCCTTCATATAAGATTATCTTTTTTTTTTATATCACACATGCTCTATGCATTGTATCAATTAGCATCGCTTAATCAAAAGAAGAGCAGCATAATTGATTTGCTAAAATATAATATTCTATTCTATTCTTAATGAAGATAAATGTACGACCTCTTTCATTGCCTCCATATTTTCTCTATGGCGCAGTGATGCATTGTGACGTTGACTGCATCCATTACAGTTTCCCATTTGATTGCAACGTCGCGTTGGCTTAAAATTGGTATTTATTGGATAGCGTATATTCGTGTTCGTGTGTGTACGTGGGATAGAAATAACGAACGATTGGAGACGATTAATAGCAGTTTCCCACCTTCATTTGCGTTTCATTTTAATTTTATAGAATAACTAGAATTTGTTTGCAATATTGTCAAAATGGGTATCAAATTCCTTGAATTCGTCAAACCATTCTGCGCACTCATACCAGAAATTCAAAAACCTGAACGTAAAATTCAATTCCGTGAAAAAGTTTTATGGACAGCTATAACATTATTTATCTTTTTGGTTTGTTGCCAAATTCCACTTTTTGGTATCATGTCATCAGATTCAGCTGATCCATTTTATTGGTAAGTTATAGACAAAAAAGGAAAAAAGAAGAAAAACAAGTAAAATTTTATATATATCTAGGATTCGAGTTATTCTTGCATCAAATCGTGGTACCTTGATGGAATTAGGTATTTCACCAATCGTTACATCAGGTCTTATCATGCAATTATTAGCCGGTGCAAAAATCATTGAAGTCGGTGATACACCCAAAGATCGTGCACTTTTTAATGGTGCACAAAAACTCTTTGGTATGATTATTACTATTGGACAAGCTATTGTTTATGTTATGACTGGCATGTAAGTTAAAATAATAATAATAATAAACAATTATTTAAATTATAAAATAAATTTAGGTACGGTGTTCCATCAGAAATCGGTGCTGGTGTTTGCCTTTTAATTATCATTCAATTGTTTGTTGCTGGTCTCATTGTTCTCTTACTTGATGAATTACTTCAAAAAGGTTATGGTCTTGGTTCTGGTATTTCATTATTTATTGCAACAAATATTTGTGAAACAATCGTTTGGAAAGCATTCAGTCCAGCTACAATAAATACCGGTCGTGGTACAGAATTTGAAGGTGGTATTATTGCATTATTTCATTTATTAGCCACACGACATGATAAAGTACGAGCCTTACGTGAAGCATTTTATCGTCAAAACTTACCAAATTTAATGAATTTACTTGCAACAGTACTCGTCTTTGCTATTGTTATTTACTTTCAAGTATGATTTATATTTATTTCTCTCTAAATAATTATATTTAAATTTTGCTAGGGTTTCCGAGTTGATCTTCCAATCAAATCAGCTCGTTATCGTGGTCAAACATCATCATACCCAATTAAATTATTTTATACATCAAATATTCCGATTATTCTTCAGTCAGCCCTTGTCTCAAATTTATACGTTATTTCACAAATGTTATCAACTAAATTTGCCGGAAACTTCATTATTAATTTATTAGGTGTTTGGGCTGATAATGGACCACAACGTTCATATCCTATAGGTGGTTTGTGTTATTATTTATCACCACCAGAATCATTTCAATCTATGTTAACGGACCCTATACATTTTATACTTTACATTGTTTTTATGCTTGGTTCATGTGCATTCTTTTCCAAGACATGGATTGAAATCTCTGGCTCAAGTGCAAAAGATGTTGCTAAACAATTAAAAGAACAACAAATGTAAGTCAATTAAGATTTTTGTAGATAAATATTTATTCAAATTATTTCTATAGGGTTATGCATGGTCATCGTGAAAAATCAATGATTCATGAACTTAATCGATACATTCCAACAGCCGCTGCGTTTGGTGGCTTATGTATCGGTGCATTATCGGTATTAGCCGATCTTCTTGGTGCTATCGGTTCTGGTACCGGTATATTATTAGCCGTAACTATTATTTATCAATACTTTGAAATATTCGTCAAAGAACAGAATGAATTAGGTGGTATGGGTACACTTTTATTCTAAGATTAAATTATTCCTTAGTTTTTCTTTTTCTTACATCTTTAAACTTTGACTGTCATATTCATTCTGTTTGTTTTTCTTTCTTTTGCTTATCTCAAACCGATCGTTTATTTATGTCGTGTGTGTGCGTGTGTGCGTGTTGTGTTGTTTGAGAAACGAGCAATAGACATTTTTCTTCTTCTTATGAAAACTATGGAATGAGAGCGAGAGAGAGATATATATAACATCTAGATTTATTTTGGATGATAACAATAAAATGTGTATGTTTATGCATATTATAGTTTCTAGTTGGTGAGATTCTTTTCTTCCCATATGAATGTTTTGTTTTCTAACTCTCTCGTTTTCCTTTATTATTGTTATATCGTTGTTGTTTTTACTTTAAAACTAAACTGTTTTGTGATGATATGATGATTTTAAACAAAACACAAATGTATAATTAGTAGAAACAAAGCCAAAGATTAATATTATCTAAAAAAAGAACTCATTTCAAAGAATTTAAATATACAAGAGAAAGTTATTGTTCGATTTCCAAATTATGACATTTATCTTTCGAGGTAGTCTTATAAAAATCTCATAAGATATTCGAATGAAGCATTTTATTATTATTTCCAAGATAAATATATAAAAAATATTTATGAAAAAGAGACAAATTTAAATTTTAATTGTTTTTAATAATGACACAAATTGATAAACATCCATAAATGTATTATAAAGTGGTATAGGTGCAATACGAATAACATCAGCACGAAGATCTGACTGAAAACGAAAAAAAAGATCAAATAATTATTATCCAGAAAAAATGAAAACTTACACAAACACCAGATCGTTCAAGTTCATTAAATAATTTTTTACCATCAACACCACTAATACGCAGTGAAAGTTGTGCACCTCTTTGTTCAGGATCAGATGGTGTTATAAATTGTATCTTTAAATTATTAGATGACTCTAAAGAAAAAATCAAAGAACTGTCTAATACATCTGAAGAGCTATAATTTTACATACGATTTATTTCATTTTCAATTAAATATTGCAAATATTGAGTGAGTAATTTTGATTTTGCTCTCAATTTATCTATACCGACTTCTTCAAAAATCTATTAAAAAATAAATATTATTTATTATATTAAAATTTAATATGAATTATTTTCATACTTCAAGACTTGCTGCGAATACTGCACATTGATGAATAGATGGATTACTGACTCGAAAACCATTTGCACCAGTATCTCGATCCATTTCTATTTTATTATTTATTACTATTTTTTCAAAATGAAAATTATATTTACCTGGTCTCATTTCAAATCGTGTTTCATAACGATTACCCCACCAACCATCTAAGTGTGGATATTGTTTATCAAAATGATTTGAATGAACAAATATACCACCAACACATCCAGCACCTGAATTTAAATATTTATATGAACAAAAAACAGCAAAATCGACGTTCCAATCATGTAATTGCAATGGAACATTACCAACAGCATGTGCTAAATCCCAACCAGCAACACATCCCTACGTAATTTAAAGTAAATCTTAGATTTCAGAATAACAAAAAAAATGAATTACCTGTTGCTGAGCAGCATGAGTAATTGTTTTTATATCGAAGAATTGTCCAGTATAAAATTGTATACCACTAAGTAATACAAGAGCAATAGATTGACCTTGTTCTTTAAGTAATTCAAGTATATCTTCAGTTCTAATATAAGTTTCATTCTATTTATTAATTAAAAAAATAATAATTAAAGATTATATATATAAAACTAAATCATACTTCTCGTGGTTTCAGTAATACTGCTGCTTCTGTTGGATCGTATCCATGGAATCGAATTTGTGAATGAATAGCATAATCATCACTAGGAAATGCTCGATCTTCATAAAGAATTTTAAAACGTTCTTTCGTTGGTCGATAAAATGAAATCTATTAATTAATTAGAGGTATATATGTATTTAATTAAAAATTTTCTAACCATCATAAAATGAATATTACTTGAAAGTTGATTCATTACGGCTACTTCATTATCTGTAGCACCTAGAAAATTTATAGATGTTTAAAAAAAGAATTTAATGGAATTAATCAAATTTACCAAGAAGTGTTTTTAATGCAGGTATACATGGATAATCACATTTTGCAAATGGATTTGTACCATGAACATGTCCCCGAACTCCTCTAAATAAATATTATTTTAGTAAAAATATGAAAGAATATAATAATATATCTTTACAATTCTGCCCAATCTTTTAACCAATTATCGATTGATTTTCGTACTCGTTTTGGTTGTAAACCTAATGAATGTCCACAAAAATAAATACAATCCTTATCAGGATCTGTATGTGATTTATCAGCTGCATCTATAAATTCACCATGTGGTAAAGTACCAATTTTTGGAACGTAAAATTCATTTCGTGTATGTTGTAGTGGATCAGTTTCATCAAGTTTACGAGCAAACTGCTCACTTGTAAGAGAAATTTGCCATTTTTCAGCCTGATTTTTTAAAATATCTTGAGGGTGTAATTGTTGATTTTGTTTATTATAAATATCATTATCCATCTTTTTACCTAGTAATGTTTTGATTTTTGGCGAAATGACTTCGGCCCATAATGAAGGCATGTTTTTGTTGATGATATTACGCGATTAACAAAACGAAGTTTTATTTATAGTGACAGTATAATGTGATTAGCTCGATGAAGGTAAGCGTGATCTGTGTATAGAATACGATAATTATTCATGCGATAAAGGATAAGTGCATTTTTAACGAATACAAAAGTGACAGACCGAAAAGAAGAGAAAGGAGATATTTCGATGAACGTTTATATGTTAATAATTGTTAGTTGGTCAGGTATTCTTCTTCTCTTTTATCGTTCTTCGTGTTTTCTCTTGTGATGTGTTATGGACTTTTCTTTCCCCTATCATATACATGTGATGAATCATTCCTGGCTTTTCTTTCGTCACACATATAAATTATTTTCTTTTGTCTTGTCAAGAGCATTGAAGAACCACACCTCATATTAATGCAGAGGCAGACACCTGCATGATAACTAATACGTTATGGAAATCAAATAAATAATATCAGCTATCCTTTCACATTAATCTACATAGTTACAATAAAAAAAACGTTTTTTGTATTTGTTTTTTTCAGTCATATACTTTCGTGACTCTTAGATACGTTTAGAAACTAATAGATCAAAAATACTTTTTATTAACCATCTAGCAGCTATTGTTATGTCACATTATGGAATGTGATACAAGATAAGATTAGACAAAAGTTTTTGTCCATATGTTTGTTGTCACGCCTTTTAACATTTTATCTACTGATTTTTGCTGAGAAAATCGAAAAAGAAATTCAAACAATATGCGATCATACTCAACAGTCCCTCATCTTTTCTAGATTCGTCGCAATGATATATAACTTTCTTTTTAACAATTGTTTTTCTCTACGATTTCTCTGGGTTTCTTCCTGTCTTTTAAATCGTAGGTATTTTCCATTCTATTATGTTCGTAGTATGATATTTAAATAATTCAAATGGATTTTTTGTGTTAATGTTGTTAAAAATAACTTGTTGAGAAATATCAAATTTAATTTAATATGAAACCAATATAACTAGATGGCACACGAGTCGAGACTCGTCTGCGAAATGCGATGCGAAACTTGATTTTGAAATAACGACTTTGAAGTTTTCACAAAATTCTAAACATTCATAATTGTATCATCGAAATCGAGAATTCAAACGATCATATGTTGCAAGAACACTGATGAATCATTTTTTAATTATTTAGCTGAATTATTTCGAAATACAAAATTAGCCATCGAATCTCTTGCTAATTTATGAGTAGCTAATTTAGAATTGGATTATTCATTAGAAGTAATAAATAACTATTATCAATATTGAATTGCTGATTTCGATTATTAATCATAATTAATTTACTTAATATTAGCCAAATCGTATTATTAAGTCTATCATTTTTTTTGTTTACCTTCGTTGCAATATTAAATAGTAAGAATCTTTAGAAAAATCAATACAAGTAACCAATAATATGTTCATATTGAATATACTATGATGAAATATACATGATAAAAAAAAAATCGTGTGATTGCAATAATACAGTTTTATTTTATATAAATTCACTTTCAACACACATTTAGAAACATATTCGAGTAAAATGTTCGAAACTCAATGTGCTTTATCATAAGTTTTTAAACTTTTGAATAATTCAATATGATACGGTAGAGATAAAAATTACATTGTATCTTGTTTAGTTTTCTTCTTTTTTTTAATTCAGACTTTACTTAGAGAAAATGATCCTAAAATGACTGATTTTTATTTTCAATGTCTCATATCTCAGTATTTCAATTTGGGTTTCAATAATGAGATGTAAACTTTGCATGTACTCATTTGTTCTCTTCTGCTGAAAGATTCATGATAAAAATTTTATAGAGTACTGAAGAATTCTGGATGATATCAGTAGAATATATATTGTACTACATAATGTTGAGTTATGACTCGAAATTAGAGTCCTGCAAACCGGCCGGGTACCCGACACCCGGCCCGACCCGGACCTAGGTACCGGGCAAAATTCGCCGGGTCGGTTCGGGCATCGGGCGTAAAAACAAAATTCGGTTCGGGTCCCGGGTAGGAGTGTATACCCGACCCGAACCGACAACTAGTGATATCACCAAATTTGTAACATTTTATTCTGATGCTATTACTAATATGAAAAATGAAGTCACAATAAATCTAATAGTGATTAAACGATCCATTAGTCATTGAAATATTTCATAAAGAAAAGTTTAGTTTCTTTGAATAGCTTTTGTTATGTTTCGGATAAAAAGTTTTTATTGTTTTGTTAATTAACATCTTACAATACGAAAGGTGGATGTGGGTGTGGGCTTGTGTGTGAATGTGAGATAAGAGCAAGATCCACATCTTCAACTAACTCCTGATTCACTTGTTTTTTTACGTAATTTTACATAATATATATTTTTATTTGTTACTTATGTATATGGGTAGGACAGTTCCACATTAGTTACGTTGTTAGGAACTGTATAATAGTTCTTTTGACCAGTTCATTTGAACATGGAACTATGGACTGTCCTACTCCTACTTATGAACGAAACTAAACGTATTATATTTATTGGATGAAATAAAAGTTTAGAAATTTGATCATATTTTGAAAAATAACTGTGTCGATCGGTTCGGGTCGGTTCGGGTCCGGGTTAGCTTATTCGGTCCGGTTCGGTTCCGGGTGGTTAACTAGCCGGGTCGGTTCGGGCCCGGGTATAAAAAAAATCGCCGGTTCGGTTTCGGGTACAAAAAAGTGCACCCGTGCAGGACTCTACTCGAAATCCACTCATCTACAATCTGCTATTTCGAATATTTGGAGTTAATTGAATTCATCTGACGTAAATTAATAGATTTCTACTTACGATATTTATATTTTATGGAAATAATTCAATGTTATTCTCTATTTCTATATTTCGAGATCGAATATGAACAATAGTCAACGGTCATTTATGAGAAAAAACGAAGATGTACGCCTATACAATAATGAACAATTTAATAAATAACATTCTAATTTTATCTATTTTGCATTAATGTGCTTTTTCAGGTTGCCGTCGTAGATCATAAAGACTACTAAATATTTTATTTATTTTACTTCATTTGTAGAAGATCATTTAAATTGAATTAATAAACAGTATGTATTTTTATTTTATTATAAGTCATTGATTTGATGAACAGTTGCAATATTTTGTTTTGAAAAGTAAATGCACTAATAAGGCGTAGGTGTAGGTGTGGTTATGGATGTAAATGTTGAATGAGTAGAGTACCCACGCCCACCCACACCCTTCCATTAGGATAAACGACTTACATAAGCAACTTTAGTAGATAATTAGAAATCTTTTGTAATATAACCTTTTTAAGCCATCAAACTATTTTTTATCATGCTTTTCATACATTAACTCATCTATTCAATGAAACTATAGTGAAAGACGGTGAAAAAGGAAGAAAAATGTGCAGCGTCGTTTTTCATTTTAAATTCGTTTCTTTACTTACACTCTCTCTTCGTTTAGATAAGTGACTATACATACAAGGACGACAATAGAATGGCAAGAATAATAAAACTGCATTAACGTTTGTTTGTTCCGTTGTCAATGTACTTTTTTTATCAACTTTTCTTTCTCCTTATATTTGCATTTTAAACGATTAACTATTGATCATCAATAGAACTTCTTTTCGCGGAACGATTTGAAATCAAAAGAAGCCGCATGACTATTCTTAATAATAGCTTTTTGTTTTTAGATTTAAACGAAAAAAAAATGATTTGTCTTATATAGAATACTTGTATACTACACACAATTCTCTCAAAATATTTTTAATAGCGTTTTTCTTCATAGGTTTTCATATAATATGACTTGTAATCAACATAAGTCTAATGATGCATGCATATATACTACTACTACAAGATTATTGTTATACTAATCAACTTCTTCTTTTTTGTATCAACTAACATCTATATTTATTAGATAAAAACGGATCATGCAAACGTTTTTCATAAATTCTGTTTTTAATATAGTTTTTCTGAAATTTTCGATGATTTCTACCACCGTATATATACACTATTTATTACAACAAAATCATCCATGTTATCTTGAAATAGTCATTCTAGTGTATTAAAAAATAATAAACAGCACATAATTTGATAAAGATATCATTTCACAAATGTTAGAGAGCATTCTAACAATAGTAATACTTATTACTATATATATATATATATATATATATTTGGTTCTTCTTCTTTTCGGTGTATGTGCGTGCGTGTGTATATCATGTGTTTTCTCTCTCTCTCTCCTCTCTTCACATGACGACCAACTGGTTCGTCCAGGCTTTCCTTCTTGTTGAATGAGAAGATGAATTTCTCATCTTCTCTCTATGTTTCACTTTACTTTCACAAGAAGATAAATTACTTCATCTTCTTTCGTTTGTTTTCTTTTCTTTCTTTCTTTTCTTTTTACTTCTTACAAGAAGGTGATTACATCATCTTCTCGTCCGCTTTGGGTATGAAGTAAGAGGGATATGCATGATCACTCTTCTTCTCCCTTTGTTCTCTCCTTTTTTCCATATGTCTTCCGCGTGTGTTTGTGTGTGTGCCTATACATTAACGAAGGTATAAATACCTTCTTCTTTTTCTAATAAAAGTTAGTTAAGAAATAAGATTATTAAATAAATAATCTATTGACTCATCTATTAGAAGAAAAGGGCCTTGTAACAACAAATTATTTATTTCAGTGCGAAAACAAACTTTCATCATATGTAAAGTATATAGAGTTCCTCAGCATCTCATTTTTTGAGAAACTTGATTTTTTCAATCACTATCAACAATTGAAATAGCCATTTGCATCTTCATGAATGCAAAATAATTCCTTTTTTGTTCAACAATATTTTTTTATATTCAAATTATGAAAAAATTTCTTAGTATTTTTCTGATTTTTAGAAACTATTTGCAATAAAACTTTTCAATGGTCGTGTACAACACAGTTTACTTGTTTCGAGAGAAAACAACAAAGTTCTTACAATATTCTATTGCCATAAAGGAATTCATTATCTACAATAAATTAGTTAATTAGAAAAATTTCTTCGATCTTACTTTCATCAATATTAAGCCTACAGTTTTTTTCACTCCTTGGCATAATGTTTAAAACATGCTCTATGTACAAAATTTCACAAAGTTTTTTTCGTTGTTTTTTTTTATAATAAGTTTCATACGTTTATCAAAGAATGTAAAAGAAAAACAAATTCGGTGAAAGAATTGCATTTCTGTTTCTACCTCTATTTGATGAAAAAAATGTTGCTTACACATCAGTAAACTGCAGTAATAACGTAGACAGAACCAAGAATAAGTTGGAAAGAATAACAATAAAATACATTCGATTGTTAGCTTCTGTTTTGTTCGTTCTTTCAATAACATTACCAACAAATTTGTTTGTTTTAATCTGTTGTTTGCTCTACACAGTATTATTTTCAAACGTAACTATGTCGATTTTGTCCTTGAGCGACAACAAAAACACACAAACATTCGAAGTCGCCGAAAAATTGAGAAAAATAAGTCACTGCCTATATAAAGAAGAACGGTAATCCTTTGTTTCATTCAAACAACAACGTCTACTAACAAGTTCACATTCAACAAATTACCACAAGATCAGAATGAGCAAATCAAAATCAAATATTCGTCAACCACGACAACGTATCGCTTCAAATTACCTTCTCATCTGGGTAGATGCCAGCATCGATCAAGCAGACAAGGACAGCCAGAATACACTGGCTCAGTTGAAGAACGTGGTCAATGATGTCAGCTTATGCACGGAACCGAATCAGTGCATCCAAGCACTCAACAAGGTTGACAAGAAACAAGCCTTTGTGATAACATCAGGCTCGTTAGGTCAATTTCTGGTTCCTAAAATTCATGGCATGCCACAGTTAGATACCATTTACATCTTTTGTGGCAACAAATCCAGACATGAAGAATGGGTACAAAAATGGACAAAAATCAAAGGTGTCCATACAAATATCAAAGACATCTGCCAAGCATTACAAGTGGCGGTTAAACAATGTGATCAAGACACAATAGCCGTCAGTTTTCTCGCGGTAAATGAAATGGGTTCAACTAATAATTTAAATCAGTTGGAGCCAACTTTTATGTACACCCAACTATTCAAGGAGATTCTCCTTGACATCGAATATGATAGCAAGGCAATCAAGGACTTAGCAGTTTGTTGTCGTGAAGTTTTTGCTGGCAACTCAATTGAATTACAAGTGATCGATGAATTCGAACGTGATTATCGTCCAAAAAAAGCAATATGGTGGTATACACGTGAGTGCTTTACCTACAAAATGCTCAATCAAGCACTTCGAATAATGGATGCCGATATCATCATTAACATGGGCTTCTTTCTGCGTGATGTACATCAACAAATTCAACAGTTGCATGAACAACAGGTCAGTAAATATGGAAGAAAATCTTTTTTAGTTTATCGAGGACAAGGTCTTATGACATCAGACTTTGAAAAACTTCAGAAAGCAAAAGGTGGACTAATGTCATTTAACAATTTCTTGTCCACCAGTAAAAATAAAGAAGTGTCTCGCGACTTTGCTGGACGTGCTTCAACAGAATCAAATAAGGTGGGCATTCTCTTTATAATGTCCATTGATCCTTCTATCAAATCAACACCATTCGCCTGTATTACTGAACTTAGTTATTTCAAGGCACAAGAAGAAGAAATTCTCTTCTCAATGCACACTGTCTTTCGCGTAACCGCAATTAAACAAATGGACAATAAGAATGAACTTTATCAAGTTGAATTAGAATTAACATCGGATGATGATCAACAACTACGATCACTTACTGATCGGATACGAGAAGAAGCTGGTGGTGGCACTGGATGGCAAAGATTGGGTAGCTTATTGCTTAAAAGCGGTCAGTTTAATAAAGCTGAAGAACTTTATAATGTATTACTCGAACAGACATCTGATGAGAGTGAAAAAGCGCATTATTATGGCAGTTTGGGATATGTCAAAGATGATCAAGGTGATTATAAGAAAGCTATTTGGTATTATGAACAGGCACTTGAAATTCAAGAAAAAACTCTTCCTTCTAATCATCCTTCATTGGCTACTTCATACAACAACATCGGTTTGGTGTATAACAACATGGGAGAATACTCGAAAGCACTTTCATACTACGAAAAAGCACTTGAAATTAAACAAAAAACTCTTCCTTCTAATCATCCTTCATTAGCTACTTCATACAACAACATCGGTTTGGTATATTCCAAGATGGGAGAGTACTCGAAGGCACTTTCATATTACGAAAAAGCACTTGAAATTAAACAAAAAACTCTTCCTTCAAATCATCCTTCATTGGCTACTTCATACAACAACATCGGTGAGGCATACAGGCAAATGGGAGAGTATTCGAAAGCACTTTCATATTACGAAAAAGCACTTGAAATTCAAGAAAAAACTCTTCCTTCAAATCATCCTTCTTTGGCTACTTCATATAGCAACATCGGTAGTGTGTATGACAGCATGGGAGAGTACTCGAAAGCACTTTCATATTACGAAAAAGACCTTGAAATTTGTCAAAAAACTCTTCCTTCAAATCATCCTTTATTGGGTACTTCATATAACAACATCGGTTTTGTATATCAAAATATGAAAGACTATTCGAAAGCAGTTTCATATTATGAACGTGCTCTGGACATATTGCAACGTGCATTACCTCCAACTCATCCTAATATAAAAAGTGTGAAAGAAAGTATTGAAATTGTAAAAAAGAAATTATGAAGAATATGTGTTTAATAAATAAAAGATTTTGTTCACTTGTTTTTGAATTAATTCAAGTTTGTAGCAGCTCGCACGCGCATACAGAGAACAACTCTGTAAATAATAAAAATGCAATGGACAAAGTCAACTAATATGGTAATAGACATACATACGTATGTGTATAAATGACCTTCTGAGACATATTTACATTTCTAATTCTTTACGAGTGTTCCCTGGAATAATAATAAGAATAACTTATCTGGAATTAAATTGTAATAATGTTGAACGAGGCATCGAATGATGAAGAAAAAGTTAAAAACTGCAATATATATGCCGGCATGTCGTCAACACATGTTCTAATTGAATTAATCAATAAGGGTTCATTGTTAATTAGAATTAAATGAAAAGAATAATCACTTATACATAATGTATTGATCAATTTAGACGTATTGAAAATATGATGAATTATAGTTTATTCCATAATGTAGAAAAGTTAATTATAGTTCTCTGATCTCGGATTCAAACTAAGAGGGAAATTGTTCAAAGAGATGTCTTACAATTACTTCTGATTTTTTAATATCCACTACACTTAAATGTTTCACAGAGGACACCGTCAGATATCGGATTAGATCAACTAAATTAAATGTATGCGAAAAAACAAGCAATCTAAACAACAAAATAATATTCTAGATATTTATTAAGCTTTCGAATCACTAATATACTTCTGTGTTCTGAGATCGAATATGAACAATAGTCAACGGTCATTTATGAGAAAAACGGAGATGTACGCCTATACAATAATGAACAATCTAATAAATAACATTCTTGTTTTATCTATTGAGCATTATTGTGCTCTTTTTCAGGTTGCCGTCGTAGATCATAAAGACTACTAAATATTTAATTTATTTTACTTCATTTGTCGAAGCTCATCTAAAATGAATTAATAAACAGTATGGATTTTTATTTTATTATAAGTCATTCATTTGATGCACCGTTGCGATATTTTGTTTTGAAAAGCAAATACATCGATAGAGAGTGAAGGAATAAAAAAAAAATAAAAGTAATCGTGTTTATACTATGTCAACTACAGATAAGTTGAATTAGTATAGTAATACAAGTAGATATTCGTGATGTCAACATCGATATACACCCTGAAGAATTAACAGAAATCAAGATAAAATTAGTCTTATTCTAGATGATCCAAATTAATTTAAAACACTAAACTTAGCTGCTTAAATCACATACATGACGATGAGTATTGAATTAACTGACTGAATTTTAGTTTGAATGATTATTCCGATTCTGATAAAGTTTATATAATTAGTAGAGTTCATCGAGTTAACTATTTTCTTTTATGACCTAAATACATAGGGTAGTCAAAAAGTTTTGCAACTTAGCTATATTTATTCACAGAAACAACGCTTCATCTATCTTTTTGCATCATATATTAGAGGTAGTTGTTCTAATATTTTATGGAAAGTTTCAGTTTTCTAACACACTGTTGAGATGCTCTCTGAAGTAAACTATAGGTAGAAAATTGACATGCCTGGATAACGCTGGATTTTATTAGTTTTTTGGGTTCTCAAAAATTGGAGAAGTTCTTGATTGGGAAATGCAATTTTTTGTAGTATCATTAGCAACTACCAGACTTATATCTGCACCACAATATAGAACCAAAACCATCGTCAAAACTTACGCAAACAAGAGAAACTGGTCATTCCACCGAAAATTTACTATTAACGAGATCAGAAACTAAGGTATGTGTCAAATTTTTATGATATCCGGGTTATTATCTATCATATAGTGATTCCTTTAATGGTAATTAATACTATCTATATTAGTGAGAAATGTTTAAATTCACAAATAAAAAATTTATCGAATAATAAAGCATTATCACGCTCCTATCCTGTCAAATTTCATTATGCTGTTTTCAGCAACATGTAAAATAATGTCATTACCTCTCTCAAAATGAAAGGGATGCAGCTAAGACTCACCAAGCGTACTCACCTTGTAACAGGCTTCCAGAAACTTAGTTGTTCAGGTTTATTCAACATAGACTAAAAAATCACCAGCTACAATAAGTTAGCAGGGGTTTTATCCAGGTATGTCAATTTTCTACCTATAGTTTACTTCAGAGAGCATCTCAACAGTGTGTTAGAAAACTGAAACTTTCCATAAAATATTAGAACAACTACCTCTAATATATGATGCAAAAAGATAGATGAAGCGTTGTTTCTGTGAATAAATATAGCTAAGTTGCAAAACTTTTTGACTACCCTATGTAATTAAGATAAACTCATGTAATACATTATTTGCAACTTTTATTTGATTTAACATAAACAATGAAATTCAAAAGTAATTACTAATATATTTATTATAATTAATAAACTTTATCCTCTGTTTCTAGCAATAAAATTAAGAGTAATCAAAATCATTTGTGTTTTATATTTTTACATATAAAATTACATGTATAGATGAATAACATATAAAAATTTTCTTAAAAGATTGAACTAAATTCATTGCTACAAAAATTAAATATGATGAAATTTCTTCTCATTCTTAATTATTAAAGAAATTTAATCATACATTCATAATTAATACCTTCAAACTATTTCATATAACACTGTTATACAAGATCACTTTACAATTACAAGTTAAAAGTAATATGCAATTGGAAAGTTATTTTTCAAAATTAAATTAATTTCTGACGTTTTCATACAGAAAAAAAGACTCTATTTTTTTAGATATGTACTTGATTATTTAATGTAATTATTTCAATGGATTACATAATCAGTCATCTTCTGCGTAATAAGGAGTATCTTGAAAATCATTAAGATAATAGTCGAAATCAATAAAAAGATTATTTCTATTCAATAATAGATTTTATGAAAAACAAGATTTCTTATTGTATTCATGATCTATTCCATTTCTTTAAAAATCTATAAGATTTTTTTATAATGCACTTTATACACGAAAATAGGCTGAAGAAATACAAAATTAGATTTTCAAAGTATTGATAGTCATCACTTGATGAATGAAAATAATAATAATGTAATGAAATAGGAAATACAAATTTTTAGTAGAAATAATATTCATTAGCATTTTTTTTTCTATGTTAGTGATGAAGTAGTAACAAATTCGAACAAAAGCATGATTTAACGATACTAACAACTAGTATTAAACTAATAACTTTTATTTCCTTGTAATTCAATAATATTCATTAAAACAATTCCACTATAGAAAATGAAATGATCTTCTATTAAAATTTCTTCAAATGTTTTATATTTATTGATTTATATGATGTTTGATTTTACAGTAAGACCTAATTAACAGTGATCGCCGTAATATGATACATAAGTATGAATATTCTATCACAAATCTCGAAATGTGAAAAAAACAAAGTTCATACTCAAAATGGTGTTTTGCGACACTTCCTGTAAACGAACTGAGCATGATGTTCCGTTCCTGAGATAAGTCAGAAAGAAAGGAAGAAAACTCGCGAAGGACTACATAAATACTTCTGCTTCGTATCGCATTAAATATAATAGATCTTATATTGACATGCCAAACTAAGAATGATGATCTTATTACCAAACAAATCATATAAAACTTTTAGAAAATTTGCTGCTGGCATTATATTCATGTGTTTTTTTCTCATGTTTGTTTTATACATTATTTTCTTTTAAAAAATCTAATTCATATCTATTAATATTTTATAGTTACTGAAAAAAGAAGAATCATTAAATAGAAATTTGTTCGATACAACATTTATTTAACCTATATATATATATTTATTTACAATAAGATTATCTATTGAAATCCATTGAAGAACCAATCAGGAATGAAATGATATTTCGAATCCGATGATTTTTTCATTGTAATTCTTTGTGAAGATGGTTCGAAATGAAATAAGACAACATCTCTTTAGAAAAAGAAATCATATTCTAATTTCAATCTTATCTATATAAGAAAAATTTACTTTTGATCAAGTGAATATTCATTGGTAACATGTTGTTTAAGAAAATCAGCAAAACTTAAAAAGAAATTGAAAAATGATTGACGAGTCCATGTTTCCTAGAAATAAATAAAAAATATGAATAAAATTTAAATTTGAAAATGTTACTGCTGCTTGTTCCATTTGAGAAATATTGAGTGGTGTAAGTGTATTAACAATTCCGTTATCGTCTCTTAGACCAATAATCATTGTTTTAATACCTATAATGTATAGCATTGTTTACAAATTATTGATAATACATGATAAGAACATGACTTACCGACAAGAAAACATTGAATCCACCATTTAGCAAATTTTCGATTACTATAACAAATGATCTGTAAATTATTAATTGATTCCCCTATACTTACTAACGAAATGGTAGATCATCGACTGTTTTTCCAGCACAAACTTTAAGTTCTATATGTTCAGTTGTTGATGAAGATCTTTCGATTACACAATCCATTTCAGCACCATATAATAAACGATGAGAACCTATAGTCGATTGAAACACTCCGGAAAATTGCTTTGAAGGATTTAGTGTTTCAATTGATGTATTATCTATTGATTTAATATTTTGAAGATATATTCAAATTAAAAATATTTACTTTTAGTAACATATTCTTCAAATTTATGACCATAATAACAGAATGAACGATGTTGTGGTGTCATATTTTGTTCTTCTTTTATTTGATTATCAGTTACATATTCACATAGAAAATACGCATTTTTAAATTTAATAACAGCTAATAACCAATCGGAATGTTTTTCAAATATTGAAAACATAATCAGACGAAGAACACCACGCCATGATAAGAAATCAAATGTAAATCTATTAAAAGCAAAGAAGGAAAAAAATATGTAACTTTAAATTGGCTTACTTATTATTTTTAAGAATAGTATCTTTATGTTTTAATGTCCACCAAAGCATTGCATTTATATTTTTACTTTGTTCATCAGATGTAAAATCTAATTCACCGATTTTTAAATCAAAATTAACATTAAGTGTTTGAACTGGATATTTATAAACTAAAAAGAACAAAATAAATTATTGATAATATTTTAATATAAATAAGATGGTTTACCTCGAAGATAACGTTTATCATCAAAACATTCTTTTTCATCTGCACGATTTATTAATGAAAAGAAACCAATTTCATTAGTTTCAAAAAATGGTTGTCTATAATTTAATTTTTTCCAAAATGGAACTGGTAATGCATCCAGCTCTGCTGTTGTTGTACCCGAACGATTCCTGTCTGAATTAGATGCATATTTACTGGGTGACCCAGTAGGAAGTTCATCATCTCGTTTACGTTTTTCTGTCGTTGGTGCCGACACTTGTTTGATTGTTTGTTCGAAAACACCAATCTCTTCTTCAATTATAACCTCATCTTCGTCTTGTGTTTTAACTTTTGCACTGGCCATAATAAATTAACTATCTGAAGAAAAGGAAAAGGACTTCCATCCTAGAAGATACAACACTTCAACTATAACTTTACGGAAATTGATTGCCTGTCATCTATGTTCATCTGAGAAATCATAGAGAATATGTTTAAATCTTCAAGTATAATGCAAAATTTATTAATCATATAAAAAACAAATTCGAATCTAATCCTCTTCAGAAGCTTAGATATATCTGATTGTTAGATCACTGGGTTCAAATTCGAATAGTTATTGAATTTTTTTTTTCTATGTATATATAAAATGATCTGAAACGAAGAAAATACATGATAAAAGAAAAACAAAATCACTGTTCATATAAATACAGTTACATGAAAAAGTCAAAAAAAAAAATAAACCGGAATAAAAATACAATAAACTCGAATCTTTTCGTATGATTATATCTGTAAAATTGGATTTGGATCACAATGAAGAGCACGAATAACAATTGTTTGAAATTTTTCTAGGATTGTTGATACTCGTAAACGTGTCATATTTTCAAGTGACGCTATTTCTTCAAGATGATAAGTTCCATCAAGATATTTTATAATTCTATATGAAATAAATAAATAAATATCAACCGATGAAAAATAAAACAAAAAATTTTACCGAAGAAAATCAGTAACTTCTTGTTCTTTTGCATCCTTAATAGCGAATGCAAGTCGACGGTGATATTCGGTTGATTCATTCGGTAATGCTTGTGTTATATGTGGAAGATAATGTAATATTTGTCGACTACCACGTCCTGTTACAACACTACTATTTACTGATCCTGCAACAAATACATCATCATGACTAGTGCCTGTCATTGTTTTTAATGTGTCTGTTGATCTGGAATTATGAATAGATGAATATGATAATGGATTTGTCATTGGAGATGAAGCTAAAAAATTTAGAAAAATAAATAAATAAATAAATTTTTTACTAGAAGAAGAAACTCAAAGGGCGTAACCAGGATTTCACCATCTAATTTTAATCAAAAGAATAAGCGAATCTCTTTTTCTCATATATTAAATAAAGAAGTAAATTTACAGCTATAATATTCTATACTTTCTTTCAATAAATCAAGTAGCAGCATCTATTTCTACAGACACAAAGCGTCACACAAAAGCAATATTTACAAAATGATAACAATCCCTTTACCCATATTATATTCAAATCCATTTATGCTCAATATATTTTCTCGTATATCAATATTTTCACTAGTTAAGGAAAAACGTTCACTTTTGGATGCTACTCCAACAGCATCTGATGAATACTGATTACGCCGCTAGAAAAAAAGAAAAAGAAAAACATTTTGTCACTTACATAATGTTGGTAATTCAGACAAAAGTCTCACAAGTGGTGTACGTGTTCGAGGTAAACGTGTTAGTTTATATTCATTTGTAAAATCATTTCGATCATCATTTGGTAAAAGAAGATAATAATAATAATGAAGTTGTGTAAGAAGACGATGACGAAGTAACCATTCAACACATTGAAAACGTCCTTGCTACAAAAAGATTTATATTAATTATTTGTTTTATATTATTTTCAAAAAATCTTACTAATTCAGATTCATTATCATTACGTACTAAATGATCATAGAATGTAACTGCATCAGAATATTCCGCTAATGCTTCTTGTAAAGTTGGATAGTTTGATGTATTCTGAAATGTTTCTCTATAAAGTTTTGATAGAGATCCTTGTCTAATGAAGAGAAATTATATATATATAGAAAACAAAAGTATATATATATGTATACTTTGATATATCAGCATCGGGTGAGATTATGTATATATTTTCATCATTAATAGGATACATAATTTTTGCTCGACCCCAATACAATAAATGAGATGCAAGACTATAAATCTAAAACAATTATTTATTTAGAAAGATTGAAAGTGTATATAGAAAAACTAACTTGAGATAGTGGTACACCGGTTTCAATCGATAAACGAGACATTGAATAAGATGAACGAAGATGTCGAACAAGTGTAGTTAATGTAGATGAAGCATCCGCTGGTAGTGAATTAAGCAAAGCTGATGGATCAATTACAAGCAATAAACCATAATAGGGTCTATAAAATATTTTTGAAAAACAAAATTCAGCAAATTCACTAAAAACTTACTTAAGATATTGTTCAGAATTTGAAAGAACTTTAAAAGCAAAATCAATAGCTAATGGACAATTTAAAGCAATAGAACGATGTGGTAAACAACAAGAAACATTTAACCAATTATTAATTATAATATTTATTTCACCCGATGCTTGTAAACTAATGAAATAATTTAAGAAAATAATAATCTTTAAATCCTTTCTTACTCAGTATATATTTGTTTTAATGTAGCTGCTAGAGGACTTTGTTGAACCATCGTCACGTAAAGTTTTTCTATGGTTTCTTTTGCTTTACCTTCTTCATTTTTGCGATTTACTAGTAATAAATTAAACAAAATTAAAAAAAAATATATATATGTATATAATTTTTATACATGGATCAGCTGCATCAATGTCATATTGTTGAAGAACAGCTAATAATTTTGCATACTCTTCATTTAAATAATTAGCTCGTTGTTCTTCACAACGTATAGCTGTACCAATACGTTTACTCATTTCTTGATAAGATAATATAACAGATGGTTTAGCAATAGCCTAAATAACAAAATATTATTTCAATAGATAATAAGAGATTTCAATACTCGAAGAACAAAAAATACAGCAAATGATTTTAGATTTGTATTATTTTCCAAACTAAGTGTATGACCAACAAAAACAACATCATCAACTTGTACTTCAACATGAGTTCCATATGAATTTGGACTAGTTAAAATTGAAAGTGTTGTATCATCAAAACTGAACAAAAAATAAATCTTAATTTAAAAAAAAATAATATTCATTTATTTTGTATTACTTTCGAAATGTTTTTCGAGGTGCATCTTCATCTTTCGAACTAAATTAAATTTATATATAAATAGAATTCTATTATTCTTTTTTTTTTGTTGCATAATTTTACCTCGGTGGATCAAAATCTTTTGCAATAACAATTGAATAATAAGTATGAAAACTAACGGGTTCAGCTAGAGAAATAATCGATTTTTTTTTTAAAATAAAATATGAATTCATTATAATAATTACGCTCTCGTTTATCAGTATTTATTTGTTCGTATTTATATAGAAGTCTGTTTTTGTCATGAACACTTTGAACAACAAGTAGAACTGCAATAAGATCTTTTTCAAATTCCTTTTTACCAAAGAGAAAAATTTAATTAATAAAAATTAATAGCAATAGATAACATACTACGTAGTCCATTTTAATTGTGGCAATTTTGATATGTTCCTTTTTTTTATCTTAGATAGATAATTAATATAGCTTACAGTAAAAATATAACTGAAGAAAAAAGAAAAGAAGATCAGCTGTTGTTTCAATGAGTTAAAATTTTATAGATATATAATATAAATTTATGTGTACAGCCAACCACACTTTACTGTAATTAAAAGAGGGCGCTATATATCAAAAAAAAAGATGCTCGAGAATAAAAAATTTGTTTATAAATCTTGAAAAATTAAGCTAATCTACTATGATATATATCGACTGTAGGGAAATACAAAATCTTTTGGTATAATAATAGCACTTAAGATAATAACCGACCAGCAGGAGGGCATCATCTATTTCATAGGCCATATTATTAATTTAGTGATTGAATTTACTCTATTAGAAAGGAATTCAATTTTACAAGGATCACTTATTTTAGCAAAACAATAGCTTACAAAAATCGTGCATTAATCGATCTATTTCCTGATATACAATAATATTATTATATACTCAATTATTATATGACTAATGATTTGAAATAAATCAAAAGAGAAGAACAACAACAACATATTACTAAATATGAGTACTGATAAGCCATTTTATCGGCTATTAGTAATTCAACAAAAACAAACATCTATATCTGCTCTGATATATTTTCGAGATTAAGACAATAATATGATTAAAAAACAGTACGAATCTATTCATTCACGTTATTCTAATAGGTTTTTTTTATTAATTTTTAATTATCATATTTTTACAAAAAAAGAAAGAAAGAAACGTGCTTAAGATGGTTTAGGATCGGTTGCAATAGTTGAAATAATGGAGTGTTAGCAAAGGGAAAAAAAAAGATTTCGACACTAAAAAATAAAGGTAAAAAAATAATACAAAAAAAAAACTTATATCAACAAAACCACCAGAGTTGTTCACACTCATTGATTCGTTTAACTAAAGCTCATAATATTATTCAGCTATATAATGATTAGTTTTTTTTTTATTTTGTTTCGTATTATTTTGATGCTTTTAAGCAAGTTTATCAAGTACAGCACGTACTTCATTAAAAACTTCATCCGGTGCTAATTCTGAATTGACCTATAAGAATTATAATTTAGAAAAAAAAACTAAATTAGAATGATATTTAATTGAAATACCTCAGCTAATTTGCCTTGTTTTTCATATAAATCTAAAACAGGTAATGTTTGATTGTGAAATGTTGTTAAACGATTCTTAATTGTTGCTTCATTATCATCAACTCGACCTGATGTTTGACCACGATGTAATAATCGTTTTGTCATGGTATCATCACCTGCTTTGACATAAAGAACAAGATTACATGGAGCAATCTAAATAAGAGAAAATAAGATTAGATATCTGTAAGAAACTAATTGAATTATTATTAACTAATTCTTCAAATTTCTGAGCTTGTGGAACTTCACGTGGATATCCATCGATAAGAAAACCTTTTGATTTGTCAGCATTTTTAATCATATTTTCTTTGAGTAAATCGAGGACAACTTCCTGAAAGAACAAAAAAACAATTTTTTTTCTAAAGAAAATTTTAATTATATAAATACCATTGGTACTAATTTGCCTTCTTTCATTAATGCATTGAGTTGTTCACCACGTTCACTTTTTGATTGAACAGCTTCGCGAAGAAGATCACTAGAGAGAAGAAGAAAAACAAAATAATACATAATTAATCAATTTTATTTCATACCCAGTACTTAAATGTGTATAACCATATTTTTGAACAATTCGTTCACATTGTGTACCTTTACCGGATCCTGTAATCGAAATAAAAAACATTTTGTTTTTAATTAGTTAGAAAATAAGAACTAGTTAATATTACCTGGTCCGCCAACAACAAAGATGATCTTTGAATTTTTTAGTTTATCTAATTCAGGTTTTCGTTCAATTACTAGGAAAGAAAAAACCAAGATTATTATTATTAATAATAATCGTTTCGTGTTTATGTAAGATCGAGGGTATAAACTATATAAACGTTAGAATACTGGATAAAAGTAATGTGATGGAAACAATTTTCGGGAATATGGTTTTGTTTCTCACCTTGTGTCATTTTTTTGCTGTATATTATACACTAGTATTACTGTTTAGTTGCCTCTCGAAAATAGTTCTTAGTACACGATGAGAACACGAAGAATAAGAAAGAAAAGAAGAAGACGAAGAAGAAAAAAAGTCGGTTATATGCGTATTTGGTACCACCCAAAAACAGAAGGGGAAGAAGAAGAGAAAAAAAAGAAGACGATCGAAGAGGTAATAGTAAATGAGAAGAAAAGGCTATAACAGACCACGATGCTTCTTAAATAATATGTTATGGCAAACGAAGAAGAAATTATCGTAAGCATAAATGTGCAAACCATCCTGTTTTCTACCCCACGAAGAAATAACCTTTCAATCATTTGCTTGATGCTTTTGTTTCTCATCATGTATATAACGAAAAAAAAACAAGAGCAACTAATGTTAATGTCACAATGACTTAGAAGATTTTACAGATAAGTGGTGTACAAATACATATATATAGATTGGGGAGATGTTTTTCGTATTTTTTATCTATTAGGAGAAAATAGATTTATCTAAAAGGAGGCTTTTTCTGTCATAATAATTTGCTTGAATACGTCAGTAAACAACTATTGCTTTTTTTTATCAAAAAACATGCTTTGAATAAACAATAGAGTAGCAAAAACTTGCATGTACGGCTTCATTTGATAAATCTTGATTATTATCAATATGAAATAAAATATTGTTTATTCAATGTACCATCTCATGTAGTCAAAAAAAGAAATTTTTTTATTGTTTACCTACTTCATGTTGTCCCATAAGCTGTTTTAATGCTTGTGATACATCAGTAAAGACTTCATCTGGTTTTCGATTTGCATCAATAGTTACTAATTTTTTTTGATCTTTATAATGAGTTAAAACAGGTGTTGTTTCTTCATGAAATGTTGTTAAACGTTTTGTAATTGTTTCTCTATTATCATCAATTCGACCACTTGTTTCACCACGTTTTACTAATCGTTCAATCATAATATTATCTGGTACATCGAAATAAATGAAAATATCACATGGAACAACATCTTTTTCGAATTGAATGCCTATTAGAATTAAAAAGAAAATATTATTTAGTAAATTCATATTAGATATTAATCAATAAATGAATCAGATATGAGCAATTAAGATTGAAGAAGAAGAATTAATTAAATACTTACGAAATCTTTTTTTTATTTACTACTGTAATAAACAGAACTATAATTTTTAACAGATTAAAGAAGGAAAAGGAAATTTTTTTAGTTTTATTATTTTACCTTGATCAACTCGACGCGGAAATCCGTCTATCAAAAATCCGGAAGCTTTACTGGCTCTATTATAAATTGCATCTTTAAGTAGACCAAGAATATCTTCCTAAAAAAACAATGAACAAAAAAACATGATTGTTGTTTTTCTCTTCTGAATAATAATCTTGTATTTATATTACTGTAGAAATAAGTTTCCCTTGTGACATAACTTCATTAAAATAACGTCCTTTTTCTGTTGTTGAATCTTGTGCAGCTGCTCGGATTAAATCACCAGCTGATAAATGTGTAAAACCATATTTTTCAATCATTTTCTCACATTGTGTTCCTTTACCACTTCCTACAATAATGTGTATTTATATGAAAGTTATATTTTATTTTCTATACCTGGTCCACCACCGACAAACACTACTGGTTTGCCTTTAATCATATCTTTATTTTTATTTTCTTCATGCTTAACCAGCTGTTGATCATGTGTTGCTGCTGGTGGTGGTTGACTTGTAAGTTTA